CCACTTTGAAAATAGTATGGGGGCTTAGGCAAGAGGATGGAAATTCGGAAAATGTACACAGACCGCGTCGAGTCGTCCCGGAACAGCGTTCGGGAAATCGTGGCAACCAGACTGCCCGCGAAATGTTTTACACCAAGAGTACGCATATTTTGGAAATTATTTAAATATAATTACGAGGTCGGGACCACTTTGAAAATAGTATAGGGGCTTAGGCAAGAGGATGGAAATTCGGAAAATGTATACAGACCGCGTCGAGTCGTCCCGGAACAGCGTTCGGGAAATCGTGGCAACCAGACTGCCCGCGAAATGTTTTACACCAAGAGTACGCATATTTTGGAAATTATTTAAATATACTTACGAGGTCGGGACCACTTTGAAATAAGTATAGGGGCATAGGCAAAAGGGTGGAAATTCGGAAAATGTATACAGACCGCGTCGAGTCGTCCCGGAACAGCGTTCGGGAAATCGCGGCAACAAGCCACCCGGCGAATTGTTATACACCAAGAGAACGCACATTTTGGAAATTATTTAAATATACTTACCAGGTCGGGACCACTTTGAAAACAGTATAAGGGCTTAGGCAAGATGATGGAAATTCAGAAAATGTATACAGACCGCGTCGAGTCGTCCCGGAACAGCGTTCGGGAAATCGCGGCAACAAGCCACCCGGCGAATTGTTATACACCAAGAGTACGAACATTTTGGAAATTATTTTAATATACTTACGAGGTCGGGACCACTTTGAAAATAGTATGGGGGCTTAGGCAAGAGGATGGAAATTCGGAAAATGTATACAGACCGCGTCGAGTCGTCCCGGAACAGTGTTCTGGAAATCGGAGCAACCGGGCTGCCCGAGAATTGTTAAACACCAAGGGTACGCACATTTTGGAAATTATTTAAATATACTTACGAGGTCGGGACCACTTTGAAAATAGTATGGGGGGTTAGGCAAGAGGATGGAAATTCGGGAAATGTATACAGACCGCGTCGAGTCGTCCCGGAACAGCGTTCGGGAAATCGCGGCAACAAGCCACCCGGCGAATTGTTATACACCAAGCGTACGCACATTTTGGAAATTATTTAAATATACTTACGAGGTCGGGACCACTTTGAAAATAGTATGGGGGCTTAGGCAAGAGGATGGAAATTCGGAAAATGTACACAGACCGCGTCGAGTCGTCCCGGAACAGCGTTCGGGAAATCGTGGCAACCAGACTGCCCGCGAAATGTTTTACACCAAGAGTACGCATATTTTGGAAATTATTTAAATATAATTACGAGGTCGGGACCACTTTGAAAATAGTATAGGGGCTTAGGCAAGAGGATGGAAATTCGGAAAATGTATACAGACCGCGTCGAGTCGTCCCGGAACAGCGTTCGGGAAATCGCGGCAACAAGCCACCCGGCGAATTGTTATACACCAAGCGTACGCACATTTTGGAAATTATTTAAATATACTTACGAGGTCGGGACCACTTTGAAAATAGTATGGGGGCTTAGGCAAGAGGATGGAAATTCGGAAAATGTACACAGACCGCGTCGAGTCGTCCCGGAACAGCGTTCGGGAAATCGTGGCAACCAGACTGCCCGCGAAATGTTTTACACCAAGAGTACGCATATTTTGGAAATTATTTAAATATAATTACGAGGTCGGGACCACTTTGAAAATAGTATAGGGGCTTAGGCAAGAGGATGGAAATTCGGAAAATGTATACAGACCGCGTCGAGTCGTCCCGGAACAGCGTTCGGGAAATCGTGGCAACCAGACTGCCCGCGAAATGTTTTACACCAAGAGTACGCATATTTTGGAAATTATTTAAATATACTTACGAGGTCGGGACCACTTTGAAATAAGTATAGGGGCTTAGGCAAAAGGGTGGAAATTCGGAAAATGTATACAGACCGCGTCGAGTCGTCCCGGAACAGCGTTCGGGAAATCGCGGCAACAAGCCACCCGGCGAATTTTTATACACCAAGAGAACGCACATTTTGGAAATTATTTAAATATACTTACCAGGTCGGGACCACTTTGAAAACAGTATAAGGGCTTAGGCAAGATGATGGAAATTCAGAAAATGTATACAGACCGCGTCGAGTCGTCCCGGAACAGCGTTCGGGAAATCGCGGCAACAAGCCACCCGGCGAATTGTTATACACCAAGAGTACGCACATTTTGGAAATTATTTAAATATACTTACGAGGTCGGGACCACTTTGAAAATAGTATGGGGGGTTAGGCAAGAGGATGGAAATTCGGGAAATGTATACAGACCGCGTCGAGTCGTCCCGGAACAGCGTTCGGGAAATCGCGGCAACAAGCCACCCGGCGAATTGTTATACACCAAGCGTACGCACATTTTGGACATTATTTAAATATACTTACGAGGTCGGGACCACTTTGAAAATAGTATGGGGGCTTAGGCAAGAGGATGGAAATTCGGAAAATGTACACAGACCGCGTCGAGTCGTCCCGGAACAGCGTTCGGGAAATCGTGGCAACCAGACTGCCCGCGAAATGTTTTACACCAAGAGTACGCATATTTTGGAAATTATTTAAATATAATTACGAGGTCGGGACCACTTTGAAAATAGTATAGGGGCTTAGGCAAGAGGATGGAAATTCGGAAAATGTATACAGACCGCGTCGAGTCGTCCCGGAACAGCGTTCGGGAAATCGCGGCAACAAGCCACCCGGCGAATTGTTATACACCAAGCGTACGCACATTTTGGAAATTATTTAAATATACTTACGAGGTCGGGACCACTTTGAAAATAGTATGGGGGCTTAGGCAAGAGGATGGAAATTCGGAAAATGTACACAGACCGCGTCGAGTCGTCCCGGAACAGCGTTCGGGAAATCGTGGCAACCAGACTGCCCGCGAAATGTTTTACACCAAGAGTACGCATATTTTGGAAATTATTTAAATATAATTACGAGGTCGGGACCACTTTGAAAATAGTATAGGGGCTTAGGCAAGAGGATGGAAATTCGGAAAATGTATACAGACCGCGTCGAGTCGTCCCGGAACAGCGTTCGGGAAATCGTGGCAACCAGACTGCCCGCGAAATGTTTTACACCAAGAGTACGCATATTTTGGAAATTATTTAAATATACTTACGAGGTCGGGACCACTTTGAAATAAGTATAGGGGCTTAGGCAAAAGGGTGGAAATTCGGAAAATGTATACAGACCGCGTCGAGTCGTCCCGGAACAGCGTTCGGGAAATCGCGGCAACAAGCCACCCGGCGAATTTTTATACACCAAGAGAACGCACATTTTGGAAATTATTTAAATATACTTACCAGGTCGGGACCACTTTGAAAACAGTATAAGGGCTTAGGCAAGATGATGGAAATTCAGAAAATGTATACAGACCGCGTCGAGTCGTCCCGGAACAGCGTTCGGGAAATCGCGGCAACAAGCCACCCGGCGAATTGTTATACACCAAGAGTACGCACATTTTGGAAATTATTTAAATATACTTACGAGGTCGGGACCACTTTGAAAATAGTATGGGGGGTTAGGCAAGAGGATGGAAATTCGGGAAATGTATACAGACCGCGTCGAGTCGTCCCGGAACAGCGTTCGGGAAATCGCGGCAACAAGCCACCCGGCGAATTGTTATACACCAAGCGTACGCACATTTTGGACATTATTTAAATATACTTACGAGGTCGGGACCACTTTGAAAATAGTATGGGGGCTTAGGCAAGAGGATGGAAATTCGGAAAATGTACACAGACCGCGTCGAGTCGTCCCGGAACAGCGTTCGGGAAATCGTGGCAACCAGACTGCCCGCGAAATGTTTTACACCAAGAGTACGCATATTTTGGAAATTATTTAAATATAATTACGAGGTCGGGACCACTTTGAAAATAGTATAGGGGCTTAGGCAAGAGGATGGAAATTCGGAAAATGTATACAGACCGCGTCGAGTCGTCCCGGAACAGCGTTCGGGAAATCGTGGCAACCAGACTGCCCGCGAAATGTTTTACACCAAGAGTACGCATATTTTGGAAATTATTTAAATATACTTACGAGGTCGGGACCACTTTGAAATAAGTATAGGGGCTTAGGCAAAAGGGTGGAAATTCGGAAAATGTATACAGACCGCGTCGAGTCGTCCCGGAACAGCGTTCGGGAAATCGTGGCAACCAGACTGCCCGCGAAATGTTTTACACCAAGAGTACGCATATTTTGGAAATTATTTAAATATACTTACGAGGTCGGGACCACTTTGAAATAAGTATAGGGGCATAGGCAAAAGGGTGGAAATTCGGAAAATGTATACAGACCGCGTCGAGTCGTCCCGGAACAGCGTTCGGGAAATCGCGGCAACAAGCCACCCGGCGAATTGTTATACACCAAGAGAACGCACATTTTGGAAATTATTTAAATATACTTACCAGGTCGGGACCACTTTGAAAACAGTATAAGGGCTTAGGCAAGATGATGGAAATTCAGAAAATGTATACAGACCGCGTCGAGTCGTCCCGGAACAGCGTTCGGGAAATCGCGGCAACAAGCCACCCGGCGAATTGTTATACACCAAGAGTACGCACATTTTGGAAATTATTTAAATATACTTACGAGGTCGGGACCACTTTGAAAATAGTATGGGGGCTTAGGCAAGAGGATGGAAATTCGGAAAATGTATACAGACCGCGTCGAGTCGTCCCGGAACAGCGTTCGGGAAATCGTGGCAACCAGACTGCCCGCGAAATGTTTTACACCAAGAGTACGCATATTTTGGAAATTATTTAAATATACTTACGAGGTCGGGACCACTTTGAAATAAGTATAGGGCTTAGGCAAAAGGGTGGAAATTCGGAAAATGTATACAGACCGCGTCGAGTCGTCCCGGAACAGCGTTCGGGAAATCGCGGCAACAAGCCACCCGGCGAATTTTTATACACCAAGAGAACGCACATTTTGGAAATTATTTAAATATACTTACCAGGTCGGGACCACTTTGAAAACAGTATAAGGGCTTAGGCAAGATGATGGAAATTCAGAAAATGTATACAGACCGCGTCGAGTCGTCCCGGAACAGCGTTCGGGAAATCGCGGCAACAAGCCACCCGGCGAATTGTTATACACCAAGAGTACGCACATTTTGGAAATTATTTAAATATACTTACGAGGTCGGGACCACTTTGAAAATAGTATGGGGGCTTAGGCAAGAGGATGGAAATTCGGAAAATGTATACAGACCGCGTCGAGTCGTCCCGGAACAGCGTTCTGGAAATCGGAGCAACCGGGCTGCCCGAGAATTGTTAAACACCAAGAGTACGCACATTTTGGAAATTATTTAAATATACTTACGAGGTCGGGACCACTTTGAAAATAGTATATGTGCTTAGGCAACAGGATGGAAATTCGGAAAATGTATACAGACCGCGTCGAGTCGTCCCGGAACAGCGTTCTGGAAATCGGAGCAACCGGGCTGCCCGAGAAATGTTAAACACCAAGAGTACGCACATTTTGGAAATTATTTAAATATACTTACGAGGTCGGGACCACTTTGAAAATAGTATATGTGCTTAGGCAAGAGGATGGAAATTCGGAAAATGTATACAGACCGCGTCGAGTCGTCCCGGAACAGCGTTATGGAAATCGGAGCAACCGGGCTGCCCGAGAATTGTTAAACACCAAGAAGTACGCACATTTTGGAAATTATTTAAATATACTTACGAGGTCGGGACCACTTTGAAAATAGTATATGGGCTTAGGCAAGAGGATGGAAATTCGGAAAATGTATACAGACCGCGTCGAGTCGTCTGTATTCATTTTACACTTTCTTCAATACATTTTTTTTAAGACCACAAGTATTAATTATTATGGTTGTAATTCAGAATATACCTTGATAATTTTAATTAGTTTCACTCTTTAAGCTACTAACATGGACTAGAGTTCAATAGATATTACATAGTTACCTATATTAAGAATTTTAACTATATATATTAATGTATACATTTATATGAACTTATGTTTGAGTATAAGATCCAAACTAAATATAATTAATATTTATAAATAATGAATTGTACTTGTGTATATTATTATGTATTTACTAGTTATTATTCATAAATAATAATGTTCTAAGAGCTTTAATTTTTTACAAGTTTATGCTGTATGGTTATTATGAAAGTTAATAACATTATCTGTGTTAATAAACTATATTAGGGGACGAGGTGGCCGAGCGGTCGAACACGTCGTCTGCGGCGCTGGCGGTCGCGGGTTCGATCCTCTCGACCACTGGGCGGCATTTTTCTCCTGGCAAGTCACGGTGTCCGGAAAACAAGTGCCGCCATCCCCCACTCCGGGGCATGGCAGAAACCTACGGGTGCCCCATTCAAAATTCTGCCAAAATACACCCACGTGTAACACCCCCCTACCGTTAAACAACCTTCAGTACCAACCCCCTCTACCAATGGCCTAAGTTGCCGAGGGATAAAATTAATAAAAAAAAAAACTATATTTAAAAAAATTGCATATCCCTACAAAACTATTGTTAAAAAACCAATAAACAATTAATACTTAAGTTTTATAATTTTTAAACTAACCAAGTAACGTAAATTGCTAAGCGCAGACGGAGACAACAAAGACCTATTTCAAAAAAACTTAATATAATAAATAATAATATTACTATTCATATAAATATAGGTATTTTAGGAATTGTTCCTGTGATTTCAAAGGAATTAAAAGACATGTTGAGTTTAAAAGAAAATGTTTATTGCTGAAATTTGAAAATAATTTTGTATGCTGTTGTTTGTTCTCAGCTACCCCATCTCCTAAAAATTAAAAGTCATTAGATTTTTCAATGATTATGATTATGTAACAAATTTTTTTTGTTATTTTTTAGGCGAAGTGGACATAATTTCATGTATTTACATACCTAGTTTCTGGACCGCTGTTTCCACACGGCGTAGAGGGACTCATCAATGGACGACTGATTACGTTTAGATGACTTTGAGTGTGACAGCTGGGAACTTTGGGCAGTCGACTCGGCAAGAGGTGCAGGCGACAGTGCCCGCCTGGATCTTGTACGCCTCGGTTTTGGATTAACTGAAACATAGATTAATCAATACATTTGAAGTACCTTATTATTATTTAAAATATGAGAATTCTCAAATGTATTTACAATTATTGATCAGTAGTCTGTACCCATTTAATAATTAGGTAGTTTTAATTCAATGAAGAAATATTTAATGAATTTGGAAGTTTTACACTATGGACTTATTATAATCCTTATAAAATTCAATCAAAAATAAATCATAGCTGTTTTTCCCAATATTACATTACTACCTACTGTGTATGATTGTAAAACATTATCTTAATCCTATTATAAATTAATAAATATATACTCACGATATGGCTTACCGCGATGCCAACAAACATTGGCCTTGTGGCCCATCTTATGGCATATGAAACATCCTGCAATAAATTATGATAATAATGTTTTAATCTAGATAGGTATATTATATTAGCTGAAATTGAATAAACTATTAAACTTACCATAAACAAAATCTTTATTCTTGACCACTAGACTAGCCTGTGGCTTGTCTAGTGGCCGAGAATCTGCAACAGCAGCAACGTTCATGGTTGGATACCTCATCACTGTACACCCATGGATCACCTGCGGCTGGAATTGATGCTGCTGCGGCTGGCATTGATGCTGCTGCGGCTGGCATTAATGCTGCTGCGGCTGGCATTGATGCTGCTGCTGTGGCTGGCATTGATGATGCTGCTGCGGCTGGCATTGATGCTGCTGCTGGTATTGGTGCTGCAGCTGGTATAGGTGCTGCTGGCATTGATTGTACATCTAAAATAATTATAATTTATATTAATGTAGTAAAAAATTAAGAACCAAAAAAGTACATTTTTTGGGGGCCTTAGTATTTCATTATGACTGGTTAAAAACTGATCCATGGGCCTTAGGTGTGCCAGGCTGGGTAAATGGACATTTTCCTCCTGATTTTCCTCCATTTTTTTTTTTTAAATTAATTATTGACTAATAATATTGAATTTAATAATATACCTAATATTATTTATTATTTAATAAGACATTTTTTTTTAAATAAAATAGATTATAAATGTAAATGTTTGATCACTACTTACTTGAAACAATAAAAATTTAAAAAAAAATAAGTAGGTAGGTATAAAGAAAATATAATTAATGATTAATAAAAATGGTTAAAAATTCAGACATAAAAATGATACATTTTGTAAAAAACGTTTGAATTCTGATTCTTTTGTTATTTCTTAACTTATATTTTTTAGTCTTTGCACATATTTATATTTTAATTTTTTGTTATAACTGTGTCAGTTTAAATATTTAACAAATTAATCATTGCATATGAATTTGATTCAAGTAGTTCAGTTGATCTAAAATATACATTTATAATTTATTGGTAATCAGAAAAAAAATCCCCAAAGCTATTACCTAACTGTACTGTTGAATAAAATCCAAAATCCCTCATATCTCATACTCATAACTCGCTGTAAAATTAAAATATAATATAAAACCCTATGATATTGCCTAGAAAATAATCTTAACTTTAAATTTTTATAATAAGTCAATTTACTCCAGTGGAGTATATAGAAATAATTTTTGGGGTGGGCTATAATGCTATATAAATATGATTGACTATTAAATGATACTCTAATTTTACAGTAAAATTTAAACAAATTTGTTACTTATATAATTGTCGTCGAAATTACCTCCCACTAAATCAGGGCCTAAAATTAAGATGCTACTGCACAACTAATTCCACACCAAAATATTTTAAAATAATGAATATAGACCTAGTAGTGCACATGCCACACATAACTTAATTGCATAATTGTTTTTGCTATTCATTAATAATTAAGTTATAATAATTTAAAGTTATAATAAATACAATCTAAGACAATCTGCTATAAAATTCTTTAATACCTATATGGTTAGGTATATGACTAAATATTTTAAAATTAAAAACGAAATAACTTGGGTTAATAATTAATATACTTATTATTTTATTATTTTATGAAGAAAAAACAAAGTACATGATACTGTCACGGAAAAATAATATACATAATAATTTGATAATAAGAAATATGGAGTTCGAGTTGGTCGGAAATTTCAAGTATCTGTGGGTGGAATTGAACGTGTCGGGCAATAACCACAGGGAAATACAAAACAGAATACACTCAGCTAACAAATGCTTCTTCGGATTAAAGACAATATTAAAATCTAAACTAGTTTCAATCAAATCTAAACTAACCCTGTACAAAGTAATGATACGCCCGATAGCGCTATATGCGTGTGAAACCTGGGCCACGACCAAAACAGACGAGCAAAACCTAGCAAGATTTGAAAGAAAGGTGTTACGGCAAATTTTTGGCCGCAGAAGAAACCAAAACACGGGAGAATATGAGCGAAGAAAGAATGAAGAGGTGATAAACATGTTAGAGGATCCGGACATAATAGCTACTATGAAAAGCAAAAGGATAAGCTGGGCAGGGCATGTATGGCGAGGCCGAGAGCAGACAATTGGTCAAGTCACCTACTGGAGGCCGAAGAGCAAAAGACCACTCGGCCGCCCAAGACAAAGATGGGTAGATACTAGATAGGGTCCATAAAGACTTGGATATGCTGGGAATCTTGAACGGCGAAGAGCTAGCCACGGATAGAGATAGATGGAGGGAAGTGGTGGTTGCGGCGAAGGACCAGAACGGTCTATATTAAGCCAGGAGAAAAAAATTATTTTATAAGCTGCCCAGAATATGGTGTAGTCGGTATTAGTTTTAGTGTTAAGGATTTTAAACGAATACAATATGCTAATTAGTATTTTCCAATAGGTAATCAATATTGAATATTAATCAAATAAAAATGTATAGAAGCCGAAATTAAGTACCTACTGCACACTTTTAAATTTGCTACTGCACATTTAATATTAGCTACTGCTGCTACTGCACACAATTTCAGGCCCTGCACTAAATATAAATAATTTCACTGTTACCTATTACTTTTTTTCGTCTAGATAATGTTATTAGTTATGACTTTTATTATAAAATTGATAATTGTAGTATTTAATTAGGTACATATTAATACTTCAGTTAAAAAACCATTTAAGATGTTAGGATTCATAAACAGGAATACGATTAATTTTAAAAATATTAACTCATTTTTATTATAATATTATTTAATTTTAGTATAATATTTGTCAAATTGAGATTCAACTTACTACATTGTACTTTTAATTTTTATTACTAAAGGGTATACCTTATCTGTTTACAAATAAATAAAAAAATATTTATATAGCAATATCATATA